GTCTTGACGACCAAGGAGAGGTAGAGAAGCGATGATCGGTGTCTTCCTCCTCCTCCTTACTTCTGCGCAGCGATACGAGCCTCGAGCTTCAAGTTGGCAGCAAGAGGTCCGCGGTCGTTGCGGAATTGCATGTAGCAACCGTCCTTGAGAATACGGTTCTCGTCGCGCCTTGCAACGTACTCTTCGCGAGAGATGGAGCAGAAACCCCACTTCTTAGAGACAATGATCTTTTGGCGACCAGCGAACTTGTAACGAGCACGACGGAGAGCCTCGAGAACGACGGGCCTGTTGGACTCGCGGCAACGAACAGAGAGCAAGACCTGTCCAATGTCGACACGGGCAACGGTGTCGTAGGGCTTGCCGTAGGCACCACGCATACCAGTTTGGAGTCTGCGAAGCACGAGGATGTTGATGGTCGTAAGCGGCAAGAACTCGATGAGGTCGAATACGAGAGGGATGCAATGCAAGGCGTAGCTCTCGATGCGGGTGCGTCAAGAGACTTTCCTTCTGCTTGAGGCAGCACCAGACAACGATTTCATACGAACGGTCCCATCACTTGCGAGTCCCAATTCGTCCATCCGATGTTGCCCGCCTTGCCCCCTCGCCACTTTCAAGTCGCCACCTGACTTCTGAAGCCCTCTACTCACCTATCGGCTCCAGCGCAGGAAAGCATCTTGTTGATACGGATGACGTGGAAGGGGTGGACACGAACACGCATGTGGAAAGAGTCTTTTCCGCTGGTCTTGGTGATGTACTTGTTTGCGCAAATACGAGCAGCTTCGAGAGCTTCCGAGGTGATCTGTTGGTGCTCGTCGCAGACCATGTGCGCGCAGAAGGGAAAGTCGTCGACAGACGCCTTCTTGCGTCCCAGATCGTAGATGCGGATCTGTCAAGGAGAAGCGAAAGTGCGGGAGATGAGATGTGAGCCTCGAGAGCAGCTGTGAAGCTAGGTCGAATTGCTACACACCTTGGGGTCAGGCACACCACGGTTGTACCTGGACTTGGGGAACGGCTTGTTCTTGCAGTAGCGGTAGCATCTTGCTGGACGGCGACCCATCTTGACGAATCTACGAGTCGGCAATTCGAAAGAGGAACGTAAGCAAGTGTCGTAGAATCGCAATGCACTAGGATGTTGTTCAACGCACCTTGAGGGGTTGCGAGATGAATGTATGTGTGGTAGTGGTCGTCGCGACGCACGAAGTCGGTGGCGCAGATTCAAGCAGATTCTTATACTGCGCGCGCGCACACCGTGGCCAAGTTCACGTGGCACACATCCGCGCCAAGTCCAAGGCACCGCCAGCCCAGCGCGCGATACGGTCACGCAGGCTGCGGCGCTCGGCTTTTAGAACTATGTCCGGCTCACCGCATTTGCTGCAACTCGGCTACGGCGCAACGCCCTGCATGTGACTCGACGAGGCGCGTAACGCGATGCAGCCGATGAGCCACGCATCAGCGTCACTCACGCTTAGCAGTCGTGAGTCCGAGGTCC